ATGCTGTCTAATCAGCATTTTGATATGCCACACCTGTGAGGTGGATGGATTATCTTGGCAAAGGAGAAGTGCTCACTAACACAGATTTAGACAGATTTGTGAACAATATTTGAGAGAAATAGGCCTTTTGTGTACATAGAAAAAGTTGTAGATCTTTGAGTTCAGCTCATGAAAAATGGGGAAAACACAGTGTAGTTTGGTTCAGAATTCAGGTTCTCATTGTGAGCCAGCTGTCTAGATCCAAACTGGTATCCAAGTCTTTTATATTGGCTCTGAAGACCAAGGACCACACTTTCTTTCATTTAAAAAAGTTTTAGCTGACCCCTCCTGGTCATTAATGTGTGGTGCATCATGGTCTATAATGAAAGGAATCGTGTGATATTTTGGGAACTATCATAGCCTATTTAATTTTCTTGCTAAGAAGATTGATGCCTCTCTTGTTCAGTAAACATGATGCTAAAGCCAAAGAACAGTTAACTTATCTTAGCCTAAAGACTAGAAATGGAGAAACAGCTTGAGATTTGAGGAAGTCTCCCAGGTCTTTCTTCACACATAGTCTAGTAGTCAAATATGAGAATGGTATCAGGAGGTTCAAGTTTTATTTCCTCAATAACCTGGGTCTGGATTTCTGAATACAGTCTTTTGGCATTTTGAGTCTCACAGAGCTGAGTTACAGTGCATTTCAGGTCACAACAGTACAGGGCACCACACCACCATAATAAAATGCAAATAAAGGAATAAACTTCACATCATCTCCAAATATTGAACTATAAGCTACATAAAGCTAGTAATGTATAAATTTAAGAGGTGTTTAATGCTATGTTGCAGTAGATGAATGTTTATTATGGAAATAAGAACTCTAAGGATGATAAAGGTCAAAATACAAAATGATTAACAGGCACCTTAGCTTGTGTGAGTTTGAAGTGTTGAGGGCAATGAGTCTGGTATCAGCAGCTGTCAGACTGTAGAATGCAAGTATATGGCTATTTCTTGGAGGCAAGACTTTTGAGAACAGACTATTCAAACTTAGTGTATTTCCAAAAATTATTTCTTTAACAGAGCTCTTTTGTTGTATAGAAATCAATATCATATAGAGATGTTAAAGGCTTTATTATTCTTAAGATGTTCAGACAACCATAATATATTTGTGATTTACTGTCACAATGAGATTCCTTAATGTGTGCAGGACACTGGACGAGAGCTAGACCAACTCTGTTCCTTCCTTGGTTTGTCTCCTTCACTCGGGGAGAAGGAAAGAGTCGCAATTGGATCCAAGTTTGACAATATGAAACAAAACAACATGACTAATTATTCCACAGTGCATACGATGAATCAAAAGGTGTCTCCTTTCATGAGAAAAGGTACAGTGGAAAATGTCTACTGGGAAAGAAGCTCTGATTTTTGTTGTTTGTACCACAATCCACTCAAAACATTTACCACTGATTGCACTGATTTACTTGAATGGCTCTCTGTGGGTTTCCAGGAATAGTTGGTGACTGGAAGACCCATTTCACTGTGTCCCAGAATGAAGAGTTTGACAAAGACTACAAGCAGAAAATGACAAATCCCACACTGAAGTTTCACACTGAAGTTTACAGGCCCAGTCTGGCTGTGCAAAACGAAGAATAATGTTACTACCTCAGGTGTTAAACCTTATGTGTTAACATTGTTTATTCAGGGTGAGTCATTTTTACTTACAGCAATTTTGGCTGTCAAAAAATTGCTATAAATTAACACTTTAATGAATGTCAATGTGATATGTATGCATTTGACAAACATTGAATATTTTTTTTATATTTCTTCTTATTTGGCAGTGTTTAACACAACACTTTTTCAGTCGCCTCTCAATGACCTTTCTCTTCCTGGTGTCATCTTTACTGAAGCTATCCAAAAATTCGAGTTAGTTCGCCGCTCAGTTATTATAAGGCAGTTCCAAGAGAGCTTGGGATCACTTTGTTGCCTCAAGAGATAACAGGCAAATCAACACTTAATTGCATTTTCAGGCCATTTCTTTGTGTGTTTTGTAGATTTGTAAAGACTGCACGTAATGCTTAATTTGTTATGAGAGACAACACAATTCACAATGCCGGAGATGGGAAAACAACTCTACAAATAGCCTAAAAGTATGCATCTACAGAGTGTGCTGTTCTTTCTGCCAGAAAGTGAGGTCCAGGCTAGCCCTGAACTGTTTCTCATCTCTGGGTTTGTTTGTAAACTCTGAGCTCAGGCTTAAGTTTAGAGTTTGTTAAACCCACTTTCTGGAATAGGCCCCCTGATTATCATAACCAGATAAGCAACACTCATGCGCATTGTAAATTTGTTACTTTCCTAATGAGTAGACTGTACTGTATCTGCATGTGAACTGTCACACATCCTGTAAGGTACAAGTAATACACACCTGTGTTATGTCAAACTGAGCACAGCACACTGATAGAGGTGACTTTGGACTGCTTATAAGAGCCACACACTTAAAGACACATTCAGGTGACCTAATGCTATTGGGCATGTCCTTTTTTTTTTTTTTTTTTTTTGATTGTTGACTATCTATTTGTCAGTTGTCATTAAAATAAATTATAATTGGTTACTTAGTCCTTTCTTGAATCATGCAGTTACATAATAGGCTATTAAAATCTTGTCAGGAAACAACCATAATGTATATTTGTTATTGCTGCAGTAATTAGCACATATGAAAATATAAATTGGTCTCATTGTATATGTGTAGTCAAAGTGCAGAAAAACTACAAAATACTGAAGTTAGCAGTTGGTGTTGATAGTTTCCATTCTAAAAGCATGCATTATATATTCAATCAATCAATATATAGTGGAAGACAGTGGAATTCATCTTAGGCCCTGCAGGCCAAATCAGGCCCTGTGATAGGGTGCTGGCTGGTCCCCCAAGCACTGTCTAATTCACAAAAATAAATTGTGTGCATAAGGGTGACTGGCGCTGTTGCATGGTGTCATGTGATGTGTGTCACATGCTGCTAGTGTGTTTGGCCTGAGGTTCAGGCACACTTGACTTGCTGGTTTTCTTACACTTTCATGATCAACTAAACATTGGCAAACTTATTTCAGTTTTGCACTGTTGATCATCACAAAAAAGGTATTTTGGATCACATTTAATCAATTAAGAAAAATAAGTGGCATATTAATTTATAATGAACATAAAAAAATTACAACTGTTGGATTAGGTTGAATTACACTGCACGGCCATTCACCGTTGCCACTTAAATATCAAGTATATTTTATGTACAGGTCGTTTTTTGCTGGTGCTGCGTATAGGCTGTTCACTTTGTGTTCAAAAGCAGACATCATGTTGCTTAAAATAAAAGAATGGCCTTTTTCTGGAAATACTATTATCAGCTGCTGAAGATCAGCGTCATAACACCGCCTCATGTGCAAGATGTACTTTCAACTAAATGAGTTATCCCCACCCTTGCCTCTATGTAACAAGTAGTATACCGGCATGGTTAAATGGAACACACCCTGATTATTGATTGGGAGGGGGGGCAGCATAGAGCGTGCGCAAATACCAGTCTTTTTAATTTGGAGCACGGCGGTTGCAGTGGTTTGTTGAGTAGGAGAGCGTTAAGTGAGCTACAATCTCAGTTTTGGATTTTCTTCATCTTTGATTCAGTATCCTGTTCAACTTAACCCTGCATTGTACATGCAGGAAAACCAAGCTCTGTGTGTTCTGCAAGGTCCAGAACACTGCTTTAAGGAAAAGTATTTGTTTTAACGGTTATTTAACTTAGTCTTTTGGTTTAAGATGAGTGTTTAATTCTGTTGTTTTTGCTGGCCCTCCATGCCCTTCTCTGTTTTCCAATATGGCTGCTCTGCCATGACTATTAAATTATGTGTCTGTCTACCAAAGGTGCCCATCTGTAAGTAGATTTGTGTAATCGGTATAGATCTAGGCTGTCTAGGCAGATACAACTCCTAGGAGAAACTCTTAGGAGTCTTATCTGTCCTGCTCTCATCTCTATCACTCGCTCCCTTGTTGTCAGTTGGTCCATTTGGAAGAATTTTGATGACGTTGATCTACTAAAGGTATATGGTTTTTCTTTACTTCTCTAACCTGGGTTTTTCTCCTTCAGGTGGCCTCGGCGCCACAACGATTTTCATGAAGATATTTTACCGCCGTCCGTCGATCCATTTGTTAGTCCAAGATGGCCACCGTTTTGTTACGTTAAGCGTCGGTCATCATTTATTTTATTTATAAAAGGTATGTTGCTTTTCCTTATTTTCTAACCTGGTTGGCTTTCCCATCTAGATGGCTGCCATGCCACAACAATTTTAATTTCTGTCCTGGATATTCTCGGTCAACATAGAGGGTCCGTCTATTTATTTAGATTTAGAAATGATAAGTGTTGGGTCTCTCTCGCTTGCTTTCTCTCTTTCTCTGTCTCAAAAACATGACTATTTGTGTCATGACTATTTCTAGCTAATCTGCTTGAATGTGTATTATTGCAATAACCCTTGGATTTTCAGGAAAACCAACAAAACTGTAAGTGCCATTTTTACTACTTTTCCTTTTTGCGGCAGCCCCTGCCTGCCTCTGTCTCTCTATTTTCTGTTTTTGATCTTTATTTTCATCTTTGGGGCTTTGGAGGTGCCTGGTTTTGTGTTTGGCGCGTTTTGGAGGTACCTGGTTTTGTGTTTGGCATGTTTGGGAGGCGCCCGGTGTTGTGTTTGGTGCATTTGGGAGGCACCCGGTATTGTGTTTGGCGCATTTGGGAGGCGCCCGGTGTCGTGTTTGGCATGTTTTTATTATTTATGATTATTTTATTATCGAAGGATTGCATTTTAATTTCGTTGTACAATGTACAATGACAATAAAGATATAAAGATAAAGAAAGATGTTTGGGAGGCGCCCGGTGTTGTGTTTGGCGCGTTTGGGAGGCTCCCGGTCTAAGTATATTCAGACAGCTCTGTTTGGTCCATTTTGGGAGGCGCCTGGTTTGGTTGAAACAAGTCTAGATGAGTAGAAGTTAAACTACAGGAGATGTAATGCAGTATAGTTGGAATGGCCAACTGGGGGCCAACTTGTGTTTGTCCAGCAAACTCTTTCTCTGTTTGTCTGCACCTCTACACCTGTCTTTGTCTTTTTATGTTTGTCTGTGTCAGTTTCTGTTCGTGCATACTTGTCTCTTCATCTTTTGTTTACGTGTTCTCATCTGTCCATAAAAGTAAATGGAGCTATGAGTGCCTAATAAAAAGGTATGGCACTGAACTTTGTTTACAGTCTTGTCCTTCAGTGCCTCCTACAGGTGTGTGACATGAGACACCACAACAACCAATGCTGGTCATGGTAAATGGACTGTATTTATATAGTGCATATTTCACTGTGTGTTACACTGGCCAAAGCACTTTACAGAAGATCATACACCATTCATCCATTCACACACACATTCACACACCGATGACGAGAGGCTGCCGCACACTGGCGCCAGTCGAACCACCAGGAGCAATTTGGGGTTCAGTGTCTTGCTCAGGGACACTTAGGCATGCGGGGAGACCGGGAGTCAAACCACCAACTTACTGGTCAAACTGCCCTACCTCGTAAGCCACAGCCACCCCATGGCGTGGCTGCATGGCAGGACACTCATAAGGTAAGGACTGACAAGACTTTTGTCTCTGTCCAACATGGTCACCATAGCAACTTACAGTATATTTGTCTTTGTTTCTCATATCATTCAGGTGGAGGAGTTTCAGTCACTAATCATCTGATGACCTTTGATGTGGGACCAGTTTGTTGCACCTCCAGATATTCTTATAAAGGAAGTATTGAAGGGACTTAACCCTATCATATTTGATACGTGAGGTTTCTGAGCAAAAAAATTCGCCAAAAATGCCCCATGTATCAAATGTGATACAAAAGAAATAGAAATAATCTAAATAATATGGCACCTCTATTCCTATATGCCTGGACTGTCTATGCATATATGGCAAATAAAAATCGTGAATCTTGAATTTGAATCATGAATTTTATTTTGGATTTTGTTAAACGGTTTAATAAACATTTCAGTTCCGAAAAATTAGAATGTTCTGGCTATTTTTGGATGTGTCAGGCTTTACAGGGTTAACTTTCTTTCTCTGTCTCTCTTTCACTGCCTATCTATCCAACATGGCCATCTATTCCGTGTTGGTCTTGTGTCTTACAGTTGGCAGAGTTTAGTTAACTATCTGACTTCCTCATGCCCCTCACCTGTTTACCAGGGTCACATTCAGTCACTGTGTCAGTCACTCTATACTCTGACACATTAGATTAATTGTCTTTACCACTGTTTGGGACACTGGCTTTCTCTAGTGCTCATTCAGCCCATAGATAATCTGTTAAAATATGTTTAAAATCTTTTTTTGGAATGCATGATATTTTGTCAAGTTAAATGTTAGATTAGATAAACTGAGCTTTTTTCCCCAAACATAAACAGCACTTTGTATCTTTAAGTGCTTTTATAGAAATGATCACCACCCAGATTTTGATTACAAACAGCTTATTGTACGTTTGCATTCGGCCTCTGGGTCATCTCGCTCTGCGAAGTTTCAAGAGGGAGTCTTGTGCTCCAAGTAGGCCTGGTGAGGTTAGAGTTTAGCTTTTCGTGTTCTTATTAGATTTTCCAGACATTGGGAGGCCTCCCAGCAGGGGAATTTATCCCACTCCTGCAAAGTATTATGCTACTGATGCGGGGATACTTTAGACAGTTTCATATTTACATTATTGTCGGACCTGGTTTATGCAGTATCAGCCTGGGATGCGTTTGGGTTTTTTTGGGAGGGGGCCGGGGAGAGAGTAGTGGCTCTTCAAAAAAAAAAAAAAAAAAAAAAGCTTGTGGACACCCACTTTGGGTGTATTTGCCCTATTGTTTGTGATGAGAATGACAGCAGTGATACTATGAAGCCTGACTGTCAAGTATACAGGTTGACACCATATTGAATGTATTATTACTGAGTTTTAGAACTTATAGCAAGATTATACTGTGGGCTGAATTGTCTTGAGGCTGACAGGTTTTGTATGGAAAGAACTGAACTCTGCAGGGACAGTACCTCAGTTATTAAAGTGAAAATTGGCCCTTTGCAGTACGTCATGTCTTGTGAGGTCTTAGCTTGGCAGTATTAGCCTGTCCTCTTTTCTGACTGACGGTGTTTTCTAAGATGACAGAAGTGAGAGTAGAGAACCAACATGGAAGACAGTTGTAGTGTCAAATCAGTGATAGTTACACAGCTTTTTGAAAACATTACAGGTTGTGTGTTTATCTTGCTAAACCAGTGCAGAGTGACGGTGAAGCTCTAGGCTTTACTTCTTGCCCTTCTTCTTAGTGTGTGAATGAGTCCGAGCTTTCAAGTTATTGGTAGTTTGGACAGTTGTTGAGTCTCTTTAAATCTGTATATTTGCTGGAAAAGTGACTGGCGTAGTCGGGAGATGTGCAGGTACCTAAAGAAATGAGGCAGAGTCTAGGCAAATACAGGTTGGATCATGGACCCCTTATGAGCTGGAGCTGTGTGCCAAGGTTGTGCAGTTTCCAAAACCAGACAAGGATCCCTCTGGTTTTGTGAATCGGCTGACATGGTATGCTGTTAGGATCCTACTAAGAGATGAACTGTACAATTGTACATGTTTACAGGGCAGATTTGGTGGGACAGAGCCAGCTGTGACTATTGCAGTTCAAGAAGAGGATGCACATAGTAGACCCAACTGGATAAAGGCGTATAAAGCTCAGTTAATGCGTGGCACCCTTAGGCTGGGAAATAGTGGAGAGGGACAAGAAGCCAGCACCTCTGACTTCCATTCATCTGTATTTGATCATTACATTTTTAAACTAACAAACCTAGATTTCTTGTCCTCAGACACCTAGTTTCAGGCGATAAGTTAGAGGAAAAGTACTTCCTGGTTGAAAAGTTGCAGTTTACCAAACCATTTTCTGTCCCGCCAGAGATGCGGACATGAGACGCTGGGATCCAGAAGTTGTCGTGTTCAGTTGTGAAGAAGATGAAGACCATGCTGTACCAGACTGCCATCGACGACGACGCCTCTGCACCACAAGTTCTTGATCTCTTCAGACGTCAGGTATCAACCTCAGTCCATGTCATTAAATCTTTGTCTTTGTACTTATGACTGACTTTCTTTTTTTGTTTTTTGACTGATGCCCAACCTTAGGAAACTGTAGCTGGAGAAAACAACCTGGTGATGCAAACGGGATCATGAGGCTGCTACAGATGTCCATACCAACCTCTTTGGTTCTGAGGGCCGAGGCTGACTTGATGAGATCTTGAAGGGACTGTATCAGCAGAGAGACTGACAGTCAACTTTATCCGAGTCCACCTTCGCCTTGGATGAGATGACTGCAGCAAATGAACTGTACCATTTCCTCTCAATTTTATTTATTTATTTTTAAGTTGTACAAAGTACTTCTTGACTCTATTTGAAGACTTTGTTTGAATTTTGGAACTTTATCAAATCAAATCAAATCAAATCAAATTTTATTTGTATAGCGCCAAATCACAACAAAAGTCATCTCAGGACACTTTACAAAGTAAGGTCTAGACCTTACTGTTATCAATATTATTACATAGGGAAAACCCAACAAATCCCCCTTGAGCAAGCACTTGGCGACAGTGGGGAGGAAAAACTCCCTTTAACGAAAGAAACCTCTGACAGACCCCGGCTCTTGGTGGGCGGCCTTCTGCCTCGACCGGTTGGGGTGAGTGGATAGAGGAGAGACAAAAGAAGAAAAGCAACAAGACA